CTAAGATTCTGCTTAACTTTTATCGCTGCACCACTGAGAGTTTACTTGTTGGTTCTGTGTCTGTGTGGTTTGGAAACATCACAGATAAAGAAAAGAGAGCTTTAAACAAGGTGCTCCGCTCTGCAAAGAGGACCGTGGGCTGTGAGCTTCCTGTTCTGGAGGTTCTTTATAAATCCAGACTTTTAAACAGAGCTCTTAAAATCATCAATGACTCTTCTGGCCACCCTGGGAAAGCAATGTTCCAGCTTCTTCCCTCTGGCAGAAGATATCGGTCGCTGAGATGCAAGACATCTCGCTATGCTAACAGCTTCTTTCCACAGGCTGTTAGGTGCCTAAACAGAGCACTTTAATTCCTGCTTTTACCCCTTGTATCGTTTTGTTGATCGGTGCCACAGTGTCAGCTGTTTTTTTTTATTCTTTTATTTTCAGTGTATGTGTATTTTATATTACATTGTATCGTGCTCTTTATTCTGTCGGTGCACACAGAGTACCTTTCTCTGCAAATGTATTCCAATGTAGTTTTTATACTGCACATGGCTAATAAAATCAATCTGAATCTGAATCTGACACATACAGTGCCTTGTGAAAATATTCGGCCCCCGTGAACCTTTCAACATTTCGCCACATTTCAGGCTTCAAACATAAAGATATACAAATTATTTTTTTTGTCAAGAATCAACAACAAGTGGGACACAATCGTGAAGTGGAACGAAATTTATTGGATAATTTAAACTTTTTTAACAAATAAAAAACTGAAAAGTGGGGCGTGCAATATTATTCGGCCCCCTTGCGCTAATACTTTGTAGCGCCACCTTTTGCTGAAATTACAGCTGCAAGTCGCTTGGGGTATGTCTATCAGTTTTGCACATCGAGAGACTGTAATTTGTGTCCATTCTTCCTTGCAAAACAGCTCGAGCTCAGTGAGGTTGGATGGAGAGCGTTTGTGAACAGCAGTCTTCAGCTCTTTCCACAGATTCTCGATTGGATTCAGCTCTGGACTTTGACTTGGCCATTCTAACACCTGGATACGTCTATTTGTGAACCATTCCATTGTAGATTTGGCTTTATGTTTTGGATCATTGTCCTGTTGGAAGATAAATCTCCGTCCCAGTCTCAGGTCTTTTCCAGACTCCAACAGGTTTTCTTCCAGAATGGTCCTGTATTTGGCTCCATCCATCTTCCCATCAATTTTAGCCATCTTCCCTGTCCCTGCTGAAGAAAAGCAGGTCCAAACCATGATGCTGCCACCACCATGTTTGACAGTGGGGATGGTGTGTTCAGGGTGATGAGCTGTGTTGCTTTTACGCCAAACATATCGTTTTGTATTGTGGCCAAAAAGTTTGATTTTGGTTTCATCTGACCAGAGCACCTTCTTCCACATGTTTGGTAGGTCTCCCAGGTGGCTTGTGGCAAACTTTAAACGAGACTTTTTATGGATAACTTTGAGAAATGGCTTTCTTCTTGCCACTCTTCCATAAAGGCTAGATTTGTGCAGTGCACGACTGATTGTTGTCCTATGGACAGACTCTCCCACCTCAGCTGTAGTTATCTGCAGTTCATCCAGAGTGATCATGGGCCTCTTGGCTGCATCTCTGATCAGTCTTCTCCTTGTTTGAGATGAAAGTTTGGAGGGACGGCCGGGTCTTGGTAGATTTGCAGTGGTCTGATACTCCTTCCATTTCAATATAATTGCTTGCACAGTGCTCCTTGAGATGTTTAAAGCTTGGGAAATCTTTTTGTATCCAAATCCGGTTTTAAACTTCCCCACAACAGTATCTCGGACCTGCCTGGTGTGGTCCTTTGTCTTCATGGTTCTCTCTGCGCTTTAAACAGAACACTGAGACTATCAAAGAGCAGGTGCATTTATACGGAGACTTGATTACACACAGGTGCATTCTATTTATCATCATCAGTCATTTAGGACAACATTGGATCATTCAAAGATCCTCACTGAACTTCTGGACTGAGTTTGCTGCACTGAAAGTAAAGGGGCCGAATAATATTGCACGCCCCACTTTTCAGTTTTTAATTTGTTAAAAAAGTTTAAATTATCCAATAAATTTTGTTCCACTTCACGATTGTGTCACACTTGTTGTTGATTCATGACAAAAAATATTTTTTTTATATCTTTATGTTTGAAGCCTGAAATGTGGCGAAAGGTTCAAGGGGGCCGAATACTTTCGCAAGGCACTGTAACCTTTATGAAAGGATTAGCAAAGTAATATCTACCTGGTAAAAGTGAATACCTGAATCTTCAGCTGTTTGTCTTTTTTTCAGTTTTTAGTAACCGAACTAACAAAAACATTCTACTAATAATGTGCGTGTGTCTCCGAGCAGCCACAGACCGATAAATGTCCTTATTCAATATTTCGCAAAGTTCCATTATTGTCTTGTGGCAGTTATTGCCTGAAAAGTAATGTATTCACTCAAAGCTACAAATAAAAACATTGTAACTTAGAGGACATACAGTTTGTTATTATATTGTCAGTAACTCGGTTTTGTGTCATTCGTACTTGATTACTTTGCTACTTTTTGAACTTTCATATTTTGGGAGTACAGTTTGGGTCAGGTACAAAATATTTAGAGCATTTTCCCCGATCCCTTTTGATCCCTTTTTAGTTGACTTTTCAATGCCCTGTTTGACTACAGCGTGATATTAACTTATAACTCGGCTTGAAAAACTCTTAATTATCTAGTGCATTTCCTACATTAGAAGCGTCCTTGATTTAAACTCTGCCGGCTGTCGTCTCAACAAAAGACAGACACTTAAGCTTTTAAATGTGTCAGGCTTGTCTGGAGCTCCATACTGCCATTAGCCTGTGTTCTGCATTATTATGTCCTACATGAATAAGTGAAAAAGTGTTTTATTGCTCCAGCTTAGCAGACCTGTGGCGTGTGAGGCTGTCACAACAGTCTCACTTTGACTACAGTTAATGCCTTTTTACAAAAAGATATGTGTATTAGCAATGATTTCTTACAAGTTTACAAGTACGTAAGAGATAAAGTCATCACTTATAAGAAGAAGCCAGAATGGTATGGTCTTGTTCAAAATGTTTACTTTCACAAAACTCTTTCTGTTGGGTGCTCTATAATGTGGACTAAAAGTATCGGTACCACACCAGGACGTGTCTCCTCCACTTTGGCCTGACTACTGTAGTTTTATAGACTTCATTACATGAAAGGGACAATTCACATGAATGACATAAACAAAATGAGCTGAATGATTATAAATTACTTCTGCTTAGGATTTGTTTTAAGTTTGTTGTGTCATTTGATAGTGTCCTGTAGAAGTGGGGTAGCTGTAAAACTGTCGTTGTGTCCTTAGGCAAGACACTTTACCCACATTACCTGGTGTGTGTGTGAAGGGTTGCTGGTGGCTGTACACTGTAATAAGTGAATCAGACCAAACTTTGATGTAAAATATTTTAAGTAAGTACTGTATACTTCATATTCCACTATTTTATATTTTTGGTTGTGTAATATTATCATAGCACCCTGTACAATACTGATTGTATTGCTTTAAGTGAAAATACTTAAAGCATTAAAAGCCTGATGGTCCATTTATGACAAAACAAATATATTGTGTTGATTGAAAACAAAATGTTATGGGGCGAAGCAGTGACGCTATTGATTGCCTTGCTTCTGTCGGTGTGGCCCAGGGCAGCTGTGGCTACAGTAGTAGCAGCCTTTTTGAGTCTCAAAAAAGCACTATATAAAACTGATGCACAGTTTTTTAAATTAATTTTGATCTGTGTTTTTAGCACTTTAAATTGCCTTGTATACAAATTGGCAATTCAAATAAATGATTGATGATGATGATTATAATTATAACTTATGTTATAACTATTATTGTTATATTGTCAATAATAATAATAATAATAATCATCATCATCATCATCATAATCATAACAATAATGATGACAACAGGCTAACAAAAGCATTGGTGAAATGTAAAAAATAAGGTCTTAACACAGAGTGGGATTGGATTAAATATGTTTTCTTCTTCCTATTCCCTTTCAAACAGAATTGTACATCAATGTAATCTTATTTATTATTTTTGTTTTATTATATGGCGACACATGAAATGTATATTGTGCATACGTTCAAAATAAAGAATCAATCACATATGTCCAAAAAACAAAAGGCTTATTTTCCCCATAAGTCAGATCACAGTTCAACTCAACTCATTGAAAGTAACCTCTTAGAATTTACTCATCTCAAAACACGATTTTGCCAGGACTACAAAAAAAAGACTACAACACACAAAATAAATGATGATCTAAAGACAGGAAAATATGGCTACCGTCTAAACGTAATATTTAAATAATAATAATAATAATAACAAAAAGATATATGTAATTTCTATAATGACATTATTTCCATAATGATCTCCACTTGATGATTCCATATGATAAGTCCATTTTACCCAAATAATCAGTGTTTTAGCGCTCGCCACTTGTTGCAACGTCAAATTCGCATCTCAGCAGCTTCGGGATGCAGAAGAGGAGGAGAATGGGGAAGGTGGGGGGGCGGCTCGTCACATCCTCTGTCCATATATGGGCATGAAGTTTTACACGCAGCGGGGAATCCTCTCACTGGAGCTGATGAATGGGGAGGAGGGCCGAGGGAGCTGCCAAAGTGTATATAAGGAGAGGAAAGGGAAGTCGCTCATGTGAAATCCACAGCAAGCAAATACCTATCTACAGAGGAGATCAGCGAGCCATCAAGCGAAAGGAATACCAGCATCACTTTCGGGTTTTTTATTTTTTTTACAACCTCCTGGATCATTTGTTGAAACATTACCATCAAGGAAAGTCATATAAATACTCGTCTTCACCATTTGCGCTACATCTTCCTCTTTCTACCTCTTTTTTTTTTTTTTTTTTACATTTTCTTTCGAGACACGGACTTCTTCTAAGAGCGGCACTATGTTGAATAATATGGATTTGAACGCAAAAGATTCATTTTACCCACAGTTTGACAACAGTTCTTCCTTAGGGATGGAGAACAGCGCGCGCAAAGATAAGCAAGAGGTGTTCGTCGAAGGGGAGCGAGGGGTACCTGCCCAGTTTGGCCATGGTGAGTCCGCAGCTCTCGATTTGAGAAATACTCCATGCAATGTGTTGATGTGACTTCAGATTGATATGAATGCATACAGTCTAACATGTTGCTTCTTCCGCGGCGTACTTTGATACGTGTTACCAAGCAGTTTAATGTGCAAATTACGCATGACTGTTTATGTAACGCTTTTGACAGTATTTGCGGTGGTTCTCAAACGTGTATCGGTATTTTGCATTTTCAATCCAAGAGAAACCTTGAAATGCAGACATGATGGTATATACTAAACAAGGCTATGCCTATATAGATTATGTTTTGCATGGATAATTTGACCTTTTGTGCCTCTCTTGCAAAGAATATTAGAGACGTCATTAGAATAGACCTAGGCCTGCTTAACAGACAAGATGACAATGTTTTCTCTATTGTTTTATTCCCAACAGAAGGAGCCCCAGCCACTCTCAAAACCGAAGCTTCCAACTCAGAGTTTGCCTTCAACCCGTGCGAGTGCCCCAAAGAGAGCTACCCGCCCTCCTCACTCGCCTACTCCGGTAGTTTCTATGTGGAGGCATCTCAGGGGGCCCCGTGCAGCACAGAGACCCTGCTCAACATGATCACAGAGATAGTGGGCATCTCCACCATGCCGCTCACAGAGACGCAGCACAGCGCCGGCAGCACCGTGGATAGCAGCAGCGCCACTTTTGGGGATCTGAGCGCCAAAAGGCACGCTTTCAGCTGCTCTCCCCCCACGTACACGCCCGACCAGACTTATGCAGAGGAAAAGAAGTCCGAGCCGAAGTCCGAGGCAGCGTCCTTTCCTGTGGTGGTCAAGAACGAGTTCGAGAGCAGCTGTTATGAATGGGGCTTCAGCAGTAAATCTGATTGTCTTGAGAGCACCTTCCAGACCGAGACCTTTCCTATGTCCAGTGACTTCCCGCCGGAGCAGCACGTTGACGTAAAAGAACTTTTGGACACGTTCCCTTCCATGTGCCCTAACCCTGACATGGAGTTCAAAGTGGAGGGAGGGATAAAGCAGGAGCCCTGCTTCAATGACACCTGCTCCAGCTACTCGAGCCCCCTGTACAACAGCTACCTGCCCCCGATGGGCCTGTCCTCCAGCCAGCCTCAGTCAGAACCCCTCTACTCACCTCCCACGCTGCCATCAACTATTGACTCTATCCTCTACTCTTCCCTGTTGCCAGATTCTTTTGCCCAAAGTTACAGCTCACGCACAACCAAGACCCCCCGTGCGAGAAAGGCCCCTTCCACGTCCCACGGCCCAGCCAAAGAGAAACCCTTTACGTGCCCGATGGAAAGTTGTGACCGGCGCTTTTCGCGCTCGGACGAGCTGAACCGCCATATCCGCATCCACACCGGGCACAAGCCATTCCAATGCCGCATTTGCCTGCGCAGCTTCAGCCGAAGTGACCACCTCACAACCCACACCAGGACTCACACAGGGGAGAAGCCATTCTCCTGCGACGTCTGCGGGAAACGCTTTGCGCGCAGTGACGAAAGGAAACGGCACGGACGCGTCCACCTCAAACAAAAAGAGAAAATGGAAATAAAGCCACAGGTTTCGACAGGCGCATGGCCTTTTGCTCTTCCCGAAGGCATCTGAGAGCCGCGCTGTGAACTCACTTGAAATGCATCTTTCCGTCTTGGAAGATACGGCCGCTGACCGCAGGTGTGAGGGGCCTGGCGTCGCTGCCTGACTCTGGGGTTAGAGCCGCGTCCACGGCCTCAGGAGCGGTCAAGTGTCCGGCAAAGCTGCAGGGACTTGTTGCTGTGAGCGTCAGCGAGGCAGAGCTCTGCATGACCGCTGTTCAGCACCACACCAAGGGGACAGCTCCAACCAGCTCTCATCTTGACTGGATGTTTGCACTTACACTTAGTATTATCTCTTTTAAGATTCATATTTTCTGCTTCTAGCATTCATAGAGCAATGGTTTGAACGATAAACTGCATGTTTTCCTTGTGTTTTTCCTTTAAGCGGAATATCAGCCACTGTCAAGTTTCTCCTTCACTTGGAGGCATTTGACATGAATGTAAACTACTTATGGCTTTGACTAAAGCTGACCCTCTGACCATATTTAGTGTATTACTTCTTATCATTTGGTTGTCAGTGTTCAGTCACTGTTCTTTGTGTTGTATTACAACTGTTTACTATAATTGTGAGAGATATATCATAAATGGGAAATAAATATATTTGTATTACTGTACTGCTTTGTATTTTTATAACTGACTGTATATTTTACATGGATAACATTTGAACATCATTTTATGATGACATGTATTCTAAGTCATTACTAATGTCTTGGTTTCGAGGGCTATTGTGTAAGACAATATTTTAAATGTAATGATTTCATATCAGAAACATGTTGGCACTTCATTCCATTGGTTGGTTCGATCACAAGGACTGCTGATGGACTTGTGAAATGGACCAGTATGTTCTCCTGCTGAACAGAATGTACAGAGTTTGTACAGAGCTAGAGGTACAAGACGACCATAAACACATTGCTTTTGAGTAATCAGGTAGCACACATTGCTGCAAGTTGTGGACTGTAATGTGTCATGAAAGGGTCCTGCTCTCCTGTGCTGGAGATACTCTACATGCTGACATGTTTCGATAGCAAAAAACATCAGAGACTTTGGTGAAACTGTCACCTACAGGGTATTGCAAAAAATATTTCAAATCGCCTTAAGTTATATTAACTGTTAAAAGTAAGATTTTGTACATATACTTTCTACAATTCTTTAAATGAATATTGATGTTGTTATTTTTATGAAAATTTATGAGCAAAATAAACATTTTCTGGAAACTTCACTTTTTTGCATTTTGTGAACCATCAGAGTAAATGTATGTTGTGATTAATCAAGAGTGTGAAGCAGGGCAGTCAAATGAGCATGAGCCGGGCATCTGAAGGACCCTCCCTGACCACAGCTCTGCTCATCAGGCTTTGATCAGTCAACAGTCCCTTCTTGAACAGGCACCGCAGTTAAATCAATGTTAAAGTTGAGGACGTTTTGGAATATATTTGCACATTCTTGTATAGCCCCAAAAACAACCGTAGATAGCTAAGAGGACTTTGCACAACAGGTGAATTTGCCAACACAGATCAGAGAATCAAACAGCTCAAACACAAGAAATAAAACTGAAAACACGTTGGTATTGGTACATATGGGGGCAGATGACCAATGTCCGTAAGTGTTGATAAATGTGTGTCCTGGACTACAATGATATTGGAAGTGGAATTATAGTTCTTTTTGGGATTGTTGAAATGAGAAACTTTAATTGTCTTGCGACAGTCATCATATTATATAAAATAACATATTTTGTTATTGGCAGTAAATTTGATCAAGAAGGGGAAAAACTTTATCTGTATGGCGCTAAAACAGAACACATCTCGGTTTTCTAAAAACTACTTGATACTCGATCAAGGGGATATTGTAAGCCTTTCAATTACACACATAAACGCAAACAAACTATTCATCAGTATGTGTGTGTGTGTGGGTGTGTGTGTGCGCGTGTCTGCCCGTGGACAGCATTCCACAAACATGACTGAATGGATTGATCTGAAATTTGCTGTGTAAAGAAGATATGATGGTAGGATTGGCATGACCCAATTTTGAGCTGATCAGTAGTGTTAGCAGGATATTTTTCTGTAATCATATTTTCAGTTTCATGATAAACCATAATTGAAAATATGATTGAATAAATGTTGTGTTCTCAGAGATCTCTCCTCAAATCTTCTGCACGTGCAAAAGTCATTGTAGTAACAGTGCATTGAGCAGTTCGGGCAATCTGCTCCCTTGTTCCATTTTTCAACCGATGGAGACAACTTTCTTTCTGCATAGACGGCCTAATATTAAGAGAAAAGTTAAGGAACATGTTTTTTTACCTGGCGCCACTGTGGAGAGCACTTCACCACGACCGCCATCATTTATGTCAAGTACAAATATAACAGAAAAGCACATACTAATACTGCAAGTTCTGTTGCAAAGTGTACACTGAAAATGACAGACAAGACCGCGCTAAATGCTTTTCAAGGCACTTCTTACTGTGTCACTGTTGAGCCAAGTTCCATCAATCTGTCAGGGCGAACCATGCAGGCACTCAGACATACACAGAGGGGACTTGGAGCTGGGACCGGTGTGTGACGCAGGCCCCTGGCACCGCACACACCAGCTGGCCCGTGAGTGCGTAAGAGCCGACGTACTCTGACAAACATACTGTAGCACATGGAGCCTGGAACAGTATGGCCCTGCTCTCCTGTCCATCACTCATTGAATAACAACAGACGCAACATCGCAGCAGCAAAGAGCCCTGTAGTAAACACAGTCCACTGAGAGGTCTTTGAATGTATGACTCGTTCTCTCATTTCCAGGGTTCTCTCATATTTATTTTCATGATTAATATGTTTGTATGAAGGTATAGAGTAGGGCTATAACAAGCTAAATTATCAATTATGGAAAAAGTTTTTAACAAAAATTTAAGAAGAGGTTTTATGACTATTCTATAATGACTGCAACTGATATCAAAATGTGTTTACAAAGTATTTCTAATCATATAACCCAATGTGTAACTTTTCATCTCTATGAATATGTTTTCCAGGGGCATCACTTGAGCTTTGTTTTGGTCAAATGTATGACAAATCCCATATTCACTGACCTTTGGGATTCAGATGGGTGTGGTTCCTGCTGCTGGACACCTGCTGCTGGACACCTGGATTTCTCCAAAGGGGATCAATACAGTATCTATCTATCAATCGTCAATTACAGCTCTAGTGAAGAGTAACCTCAGGCTGTGTTAGATTATTATCATAAACTTGACGATTAATAGGCCTTTATGGTAGAACATTTTACACCACTAGATCACAATATATTTTTCTGAACATTTAGCATGTCAATAACACAAATCAATCAATGGAAATTTTATGTCAGCAACCATCCGTTTTTTTAATCTGCGGAATGACTATTTGTACCTGCTCCTACAGCATGTCACTGTGCACAGGTTAGTAAAGAGCAAATACAAACGTTTTGATTAAATCAACAAAGGTCTACATGGAGCTTTACTCAAAAACGCATGAACCATTCTACATTGACAGTGTAATGAGAAGGGAAATAATTACATCTCTGAAGTAGATTGTACAAAACAAGTTGAGTATTACAGCTGCAGGTGTTTAAATGTTGTATTTAATTACCCTGCCCCCTTATGTGTGCATGTGTGTGCATGTGTGCGTCTTGTCGTCTGTAGGTAGGATTGCACAAAAACTGGAGAATGTGAAAGCCCACTTCAAATGTTTAGACGATCCATGTTTGTGGGATAAGAGTAATTAACTTCCTAGTCTGAGGATATTCCTAACGTATGTATTATATATATGTATATATACTACATGTATAATAATAGTTCCTCTCTTCATCAGCACTGAGAGACTAGATGGACACTGACTGATTTCTATTATCAAGAGAAAGTGTTGCAGTAAAATGGATTATTTCCTTGGAATGGAATGTCTAAAAAGAATGTCTAAAATGGAGACTACTCGTCATTGACTTTATCTTTTCAGAGTTTTACAGCATTACAGAGCCCCTATATCCAGCAATGGATATTACAGTTCTAAATAGCAGCGTTGTGCATTCACGCTGACCATTATCCCGACACTTGAAGACTGGAGAGTTGTTGAACTTTGGCCAGTGATAGAATTTCTTTTTTTTTTTTAGATTTGTGGATTTAGATGCTCAAAACTCACATTCAAATTGTAAATGGTACTTGATACATTATTACTCCAGCATGTGAGTGCTATGTTACAGATATGTTGTCCTTATACCCAAAAGGCTTCCTCTCGCAGACAAAGACATAAATCAGGTCTTTTGCCTGTGACTGACATTTATGTTTTCAACTACTGTGGATATGCATAATTGCTGAATCCATTAAGTGATTGTGCTTAGGAGGGCACATAACCGCGACTGAGAAGTACCCCCTCCCCTTCACACACACACACCTTGCAACCCCCTGACTGCGGACCTTTAGCTGTGAATGGCAGCACATCAAGTCCATTAAGTCCTTTCCAGACTATCACTAATGCAAACATGTTAACATTTGGGGTCTATGCAGAATAGTGGCTTGCTTTGACTCACATACTCACGCAACAAATGGATATTCTGACAAATGTCTATTGTCTCTTCCAATTAATCGCTTGATGCTGGATTGCCCATGGATAGATCAATGACACTAGTTATCTGAGGCTACCAAATGAGTGTACTGGCTGAGGATTAAAAAGAATATCTCTTAAAGTGACAGCGTAGGATTTGATGGGCCTGGATTCAAAGGATGAATGTCACTTCAAGACATGACGTGTACTTGCAAGGATTTGTTATTTGTATAGGCAATTATTCTTCTTAAATTAAATTACCAGTAAAAAAAAAATCTCTCTCTCCTTTGCATCATACACAAATGGCACACATAATTTAAATACGCTGTGGCAAAAACATTATTTTGGCCAAATGGGGACAGTCTACTTAGGGAGGTAAAAAAGGTTGAATGGAAAAGGAGTAAATTAATACAGGAATGTAAATGATAAGATGACATAGACTAATTGACAAAACACAAGAAAAAAAGGGGGAAGCTAAAGGTTCAAACCTAGCCTAAAGGTCTAACATTGACACAGAAACTAAACACTAATCCTACAGCTGTCCCAACAAAACTCAACTGAAATGAGACAAACTAGAAAAAAGCTAGCCATGTCTCTTAAATCCATGTCACACCTCATGACAATGACAGACATTTCACCTTGAGGCCAAAATGGTATACCACAAGCCTGGTTGTGGCTGGCAGCCCTGAACCAGTGGGGGCGCATCCCGGCTCCAAAAGATCCATAATCACGTGCGCTGACAGTTTTAGGTTCATCCCATAGAGATCTATTGCTCATGAATTTTTTTTATATCTAACCAAAAATTTGAAAAAAATGCCCAGAGGCTCCAAAAGCATGAAATTTCCAGGGGGCGATATAGTGTCAGCTTAAGTTGGACAAACCGCAAGCAGCAATGAAAGCCCTCGCAATTCTCGCAACTGCCTCCCGGGCGGCAGTCCCATAAGTGTCATGCAGTGTACATGCCGATGAATTTGCAGCCTGATCGGACCAGGATTACACACAAAGAGGCAAATTTAAAGTATTCAGTGTGCCCAAACCGTGGGAGATGCATCCTCTGAATAATACTCAATATGCAATATTTTTTTGTGTGGATGTAAAGGTGTCTTTGGTGCATTGAATGAATAGGCCCTAAATTTACCACATGAGCCTTGAGATCTGAGGACCATCTCCTAAATCTTAATCGGTACAAAAAATGACACGAGTCACTAAAAAGATAACATTCTTTTTAGAATCAGTGGTAACTGCTGATACTAATTACATGACTATGAGGGGATACGCAGCATAGTAACTAAGTAAAACAAAAGCAGCATGGGATGCAAATAAACTGCAGTGACCAATGGTTTCTTATCACCCACAGACTTCATCGGAATCAGACCTCAGAGGGGGGCACAGGGACTAAAACTGGTTTATTTATGGTGCAATGCAAATGACCTTCCTCAGCTGTTCTTTGTTAGCTTGACTCTCGCCCGACTCTTGTAGTTCGCTGAGCTTCACACGAGGGTCTGGGTCTGCTTCATAATGGATGAATTTCAGAAGGTGGGGCCTTGTAAAAAAATCCTTGTATGTGATTGGATAAACCACTTTTCTGTTATCTTGAATGACGTGTTCCTTCAACCACTCACATCGAAGCACACAATTCAGCAAACGCCTCCTCACTACGTTGTAGGGTTTCCAAATGCCAGCAAGATTTTCCAGCCCAAAACTCGCAAGAATGCCCCCCAAAAAAAAAACACACAGAATGATGGTTTGGCTAAAAACGTAATGCAATCAACTTGGACTATCATGATTATGTTTATTGTCTTTCTGTCTATTAATACCTACAAGTCGCTTGGAACCGGGAAAACCACCCAACCTGGCAACCCTGCTGAGTAGTGTTGTTACAGGAGCACTTAAACAGTACATAAACCAAATTTTACACAAACATTTGACTCTTAAAACACACATATAACCACATGGAACCATCAACATCTTGCCTTAAATCGCATTACAAGTGACATCCGTGTCTCAATTTGTTTGTATTAAAAAAATAATAAAAAAAATTCACTGACTTTATGTCCGCCATCTTGGTTTTGCTTTGACTGCCGTGGGACACGTTCAAGAAGGCGGTGCAAACCCAACGTCACACTGGCGATACTGATTGGCTGATTATTTTTTGATCTCCTGAAAGAGTTTGCGTCAATCCCAGACCCTTGTGTTCAGCCAAACGCCTCTGGTGGAGCATGGAGGAACTACAAGGGTCTGGCGAGAGTCAGACCAATTCTTTGTGGGCTCTGCATAGTTCTAGGGCCTGTCCCACCTGGAAAATCTCCAGGAACCCCTGTCATTGCTCACCCCCTGGTGATATATGATCCCAGAGATTTTCCAATAGGCAGAACCCACTTCCCAAATTATTTCTGCCCTGACCCTCCACCTCTCTTTGCATTCTCCATGGCAACCTGCAGGTAAAGATGTATACAGAATCCAGTTGCAGGGCTTTCCAGCGAGTGGTTGTTTCTGTGGCCTCTGTCATATTTTTGTCAGCTGAAAAGGTCCATAAGAGGTCATGGAAAGTCTGGTTGAAACTCTCAAACTGTCTGTCCCTTGTGGATGATACAGTGTTGTTCTTGACACTGTATTGCCATATACTCCACACAACGTTCTTGCCATACACTCCACACAAATGGGCTTTCAAATGATGGCCAACAACCTATGTAACACATCGGCCAGAGCCAGTAGTTCCATCCCAAAAATCAATGGAGGCAAGGACATAACACAGTCTGGTGGCCAAAAATGGGGATCCATTGGGGATCCCCATTTTTGGCCACACATACCTGGGGGTGTGTCTTCTCGGTCAGGAGAGTCTTTCTCACCTCAGATTTTACTCATGACTGGCCAGTAGCATCTTTGGTAGATCAACTTGGTGGTCCACTCAAGTCAAGCACCAGCCCCTCACTGATCCTACCGCAGGTGGTGAGTCCACAGGAGCTGAGATCTTTCAACGGGGGCTTCAGGCAAAGTGGGGTTAAGTGTCTTGCCCAAGGACACAACGACAGCAGACATCAGTGGGAGTCTTGAAGTAGGTCTTGTGGTGGGCTCAAACCCACGTCCTTCAAGCTCAAAGGCCAATGCTCTACCAACTGAGCCCTTGTCGCCCACC